TATATTATACAAAAACAAATTGAATACATTTTTCAACGAACCCCCCCCCCAGAACCGTCACTGTAGAATGAACACTAACCGCGAGAAACGATAGAAAATGGGTGTTATTTTGTATGTCACAAATACATTACACCCATAGAGCTGTAGAAGCAGTCGATTCATTTTTTACATTTGGTCGACTGCTCCACACAAGCAAATATCGTCTCATAAGCTTTTTACAAGGTCCAAATCCAGGCATACCCACTCTTATTGTCTGCATCTGTCCATCGAAATAAAATAAAACTATAAACTCTTCTTTGAAGTAGTTCTTATGAAAAGAATGCAAAGTGCGTACGTGCCGCAATCAATGTTTTAATATATATATTGCAAATACAGATGTGACAGAACATTGCCTAATCCCTTAGTTTGATGGCGTAGTTATTGTTCCTTTTTTTTGATACGCTACCGCTAGTTGACAAAAGCTATATATGGTTAGACAGGAGTTCTATTTATCATACAAAGTACAGGGATTCAACAATCTACAATCATGAAGCTTCTGTTAGCGTTCTGCGCTATTTCCGTAATCTGTTATTGCGTTGAGTCTCAACCCGGAAACCAGGTAATAGACGTTTATTCTTTTTCTTTCTTGTTTGAAGTTAACACGATAAAACTAAACAAGGTAATGTCTGGCTCGTATTCCCAATCTTCGACGACGTTTCAGATATAATTCACGAGTTAGTTGTTGGTATATACAATTTCCACGAATTTAGTTTGCGATACGCGGACTTTAATTGCCGAAAACGTACCTTTGTATAATCTGTTTATTATAATCGCACATACCGATATATCTTGGAACAGCGTTTGTATGATTACAATAAAAACAACTGATTTAACATCTTTCGAAAGACAAATTTTAGAGATTCAAGATACCTTAATACTTGAAAAACATGAATTAATCAGTCAGTCAGAATGGGGGTTAATTCCTTCCTCGCCGGCTTCCCTGGTCACCGGCGTTCAGATGAGCTATCTAACGTTTACGCGGCGAAATTAACCCCACATACGCAGACAAAATTAGAACCAGGGTGCGAAGGTTTCTGAGGTATTACGGAACTCGAAACTTCACTTCGCGTTCACATACTTACTGAGTGTATTTTGATAGAAAACACTAATCATTGTGCGGCGTAAAAGGGGTTCTTGATCTCTAAATTTTAGTGAAAGTTACCCGGCGACACCTGCGTTGAATATTCACTCAGAAATGTGAAAAATAGAGTAAATTCTACCAAGATCACCAATAGCACGGTTTATAATGTGACGTT